CATAAATCGGCTCACTACTCCTACTGCACGTGTTTGCCACCTCCTAAAGGTATCAAAAGCATCATATTTACACTTAAGAAAATATACACACACCTTCCTTGTAACGTCGTCAATGACTGTGGTGTAGTATTGTGAGCCTCCAAGGGTCGATATAGAAGTTGGTCTCCACAAGTCCGTATGACCCAATTCTAGGTCTCTTCCATCATTTGAGAACGCCATCCTTCGTTGCTTCCCAAAGAACCAGTCCTCGCATACTCCAATATTGACAGACTTGAGACCTGACAATCTTCCATTTGAAAATAAGCTCATTTATCCTTTTCTCGCTTATGTGTCCGAGACGAGAATGCCATAAATTTGTGTGTCATTATTTATGACCACGGAACCGATTCCGTATTCTATGCTTTTCATCATGTAGAGAGTTTCATCTCTTATTCCTTGGGCCACCACAATGGATCCTTAGGTTACCTTCCACAACTTAGTTTAAAAAAATTGTCGAGTAACTTGCCTTATCCAATTGTTCAACGGAAATCAGATTCCGTTTCAGACCCGGGACATGGCTCACGTCATTTAGTCTCTACTCCCCACCATTCGGTGTTCTGATTCGAATCATTCATTAACCTACAATTTTTAGTGTCTCATCATTTGCAAGATAAACAACACCCAAAATTACCTATGGTATATGTTCCATGATTTCCGAATCACTGCATGAGTGGAATGACGCTCCTGAGACCAAAATCCATGACTCCATTGGACTGTTGACGCTCAGAATCAACGCATCGGATATCTTCTCGGCTGCGTTTTCCGAACCCAGATCCTTCTCTGGCGTCGTGCATTGTCGTTTCAAGTGCCATTTGCAGTCCAACATACCACCTGACTTGCATCATCCTTATCCTTGTTCTTTGTCTTCAACTTTGACCATTTTTTATCTTCACCATTTCCATTTGCCTCAGATCTAAATTCAGTCGAACCGCACTCAACTTCATCCATGTTTTCGGGTTTCTCCTTCTACGCCGCCTTTAGATCTTTACCATACAGGTAATCTTCTATCATCTTCCAGAAACCAAAGTTCATTCCATCGAATACCTTGACAACACGACGATTACCCATCTTAACTCCCACAAACAAACCTAAGGCTCACTTGATATGAGAGCACATCATATATCTCATCCGTTGCGTTTTCCGAAACCCTTATTATTCCCTGCCCACCTTGCACATCCTATCACAAAGGGACCCGCTGTCTGACCTACCAGAACTGTCGGGACCGACCCAACACCGCCAAGAGACTTTCGACACAAGACACCTCCGCAGGTCACAAGGATTCCCACAACCACAATCAATATCGGATGCCTCTTAGTCCATCCTATCAACGAACCAGGCTCTGATACCATTTGTTACGGAAATTCCGAGAGAATCAAGAAGAGACAACAAGGACAAAAGAACAAAAGAAAATGGTAAACCAGTTCGATCAGAATGATCTATGTTTGAGGTGCTGCCAAACCAGGAATTTTACTATAAAGTACGCAAGTACGCAGACACATGTTAAAGTGAAAATACATGGATATTTATAGTCTAAATCTATGAAAATAATATTCAAATCATATCTCTAAATTTAGGATATAATATCCGAATCATATATAATTCATATCCCTAGATTTTGTGATATAATCAGACTTCATATCCCAACAAGTGTAAATTGTGGTGTGACTGAGTGATTATTATTTTTTAAATACCCTGTCCATCACATTTTTTTTTTTTTTTTTTTTGTATTGGATCATGAAGCAATAATATTTTATTGGTTATAAGAAATATACAAGATGATTTAATATTTTTTCTCTTACAGAGTACAAATAAAGTAATAATAATTTTGTATTTTATGATGTGTTCTTTTATAAGATTTTGGCAAATCTACATTATTTACCAAAAAAAAAAATTCTTTAAAAAATATCAAATCAAAAGTAATTTTTTTCATTTTATTATATTATACTAAACACTAATTTTACATTCAAAACATCGTATCAACACGTATTTATATCACATCGTACAACTCTTTTAATTCAAAACTTTTATTATTCAAATTATAATCCAAAATTCAAATCCAAAACAAACATATTATTCGAAATTGAAACTTTTGAGTGCAATAAACAAAACTAGTAAAAAGAGTATTTATGTTGGGACGTATTGAGTAAAAATAATAAAATTATAAACTGATAAAGTAATCATAAACGGAGAGAATAAAAAAATTAATTTAAAATTTAAATCAAACAAACTTTTAGCTGCTCTAAAAAAAATTATTTAAATAATATTTTAATATGAGATAAAATAATATATTTTTATTAAAAATTATTTAAAATTAATAGCGTTGATTTCAATTTGAAATCACACTGAACAAACCTTGTGAAATTTTACTTTATAAATGTTTACGTGCTTTAATTAATAAAAATATCCTTACTCCCTCTCAATACAAATGATCATTTAGAATTTTGTAATATATTAAAAATTATATTATTTTATCTTTTATATTTTATATATAAATCAATTATACATTTAACAAGAGTAGTATGTTTATTATTTATACTCCTTCCGTCTCATAACAAAGTATTTATTATTTTATTTTAATATGTCCCATAACAAAATATCTATTTCATTTTTTTAAGTAGTTGTACTATCTACCTAACATTACAAATACCCTTACAACTTGCAATATATTACACAAATATCATTATCTTTGTATTACATATACTAATAAGTTTCATCTATCAATTATTTGCGAAACATTAATACATCATACCCCAAACATTAATACCCCCCATACCTCATAAATCAACTGATATAATCAAATTCATACCTCACATAAAATAATAATAATAATAATAATACATTAAACTCTCCGGCTCACCTCATATTAAACAAGCTATTATTTAGGAGTGGACGCTGCGGGGCTATTTGCAAATATACATGTATTTGATATTCGAATCAAATCGAATAAATACCTAAAATCGTGTGCTGTATTCGAACCAAAAATTTCGGATATCTTTGGTGAGACGTATAAATTAAGATTAAGATAACTAATTAATTTAATTAAAATAAAAAAAAATAAATTAAAAAGTTTAAAATGACACTAAAGTGTGTAATCCTTTTAAAAAAAGGAAATTAACATGGAATATGGGACAGACAGAAATGACGACATGGACATAATATGTGGGACGAAGGAAGTATTAACTAATTTTATAAAAGATGTGAAATTTTAAATGTATATAAAATATTTTTTTAAGAAAAATATAAAAATAAAAAAGGATTTGAATGAATGTTATATACGGTAGATAGTTAATTAAATTGATTTATATTTATTAAATATATCTTAATTTAACAAATTTTACTAAAAATCTCAATTGTCACGAGATTAGATAATATATTATTCCCTCCGTCCAATTTCTATTGTCCTAACGTATATTTACACTGGTTTTTAGGTGATTATTTTTTTGTTATAAATTGACAAATTTGTCTTTAAGTGTATAGTATAAATTAAAAGTAATAAATAAATAAAAGGTAAAAATGTAAAATTTATGTTTAAAAATAAAAATAGGACAATAATTGTTGTACGTCCAAATTAAAAAATAGAATATTAGTATGTAAAGGAAATGCGAAGAAAAAGGAGGAAATAGTACAATATTATTATTTTAATTCGTTTTGAGAGATTCATGGGCGGTGCGGTGCTTTCGATTAAAAAAATACTGCTATAGGTGCGCAGAAATCGAGGAGCAATCCTTATTTTATTTTTTAAAATTTTTGTTACTATATTTATTTATATATAATTTTATAAAATAATATATATATTTTTTAAATAATGATCAATTTATTATGACTACAGTTATTTAAATAAATAAATTAATAAATCATTAATAATAAATTACGATATTATTTTATTATTTTTTATAAAAATAGTATTATTATATTTTAAAAATATGAATTAATAAATAAAAAAGTTAAAAATATATTTAAATATTTTGATATTATATATAATATAAATATTATTTTATAAATAATAAAATTTTATATAATATAAATAAATAAATTTATTTATTTAGTTAGAATTAATTTAAATTAGTTTTATTAAAAAATAGAGAGTTTCAAATATAGATAAATAACTATTTAATTAAATTTATTTATACTCTCTCCTTGTCATATACTTATGGGTTCATTTGCTTTTTTATTGAGTTTTATAAATATTTTAATATATTGAAACATAGTAGAAATAAAGTAGAAATGATTAAAATAACTTTAAAAATTAGAATATATATTTAAATATTTTTAAAATATATTAAAATAAAAAATATTTGCAATATAAATATTATTTTGTAGAGAATAAAATTTCCTATAATACAAATAAATAAAATATACTTTTGTTTACTTATAATTAACATAAACTAAAATTTTATATTAAAAAAAAAAGTAAAGTTTTAAAGATAGATAAAAAATATTTATTTTTTTAAAAGAGATAAAAAGAAAGAAGTTTTGAATGGTCCTACATAATGTATAAAAACTAATTTTATAAAAATATAGTATTTTATTTATAAGTGAAAGTATATAAAATATAGTTTGACTTTATGTATAAAATAATTAAATGTGTAATAAGTATGTTTATAATTTAAGTAAAAGTTAAAAATACTTTGTATGATTATTTTTTTAAATAAAAAATAAATACTTTAAAGTAAAACAGACGAAAATGGTAAAATTAATATTTTCAATTGAGACGAAGGGAGTATTTGATTTATATTTATTAAATATATTTTAATTTAATAATTTTTACGAAAAATAAAATCATATTAGTCGTTATAAAATAAAAAAAAATATATCAATTAAGTTGGAATGAGGTATAATTTTTATTTAAATAGAAGAAAGAAGATGTGATTTGAAAAAATAAATAAATAAATAAATAATATATATATATATATATATTATATTTGAATGGTTTTTATAATGGAGATGGTCTTAAAAGAGAGTTATTTCTGTCTGCTACTCAACTGTTCCCTTCTTCCTTGATCCTTCCTTAATTCAAACCTGTCTCCTCATTTTCCTGCTTTGCTTTGCTTTGCTGCATTCTCACTTCAGCTCAGCATCACCGCCTTGTACCTCTTGCATCGCCTGCTTGTACTTCCATGGCGTCCTCTGCTCAGCTCCCGCTCCTCGAGGTTCCCGTTCCGGACTCGGAGCTGGACCGATGCTTGACTGCTCTCGACCGATTTCTCGGCCTCCTCGGCTTCCGCCAGCACAGTCTACTCAGCGCCACCGCCTCGTGGCTCGCGTTTTTTCTGCTCGCCGTTGCTCTGCCGCTCTCTGTTATCGAGTTTTCGAGGTGCGACGGATGTGATAAGTATGAGATTGAGACGTTCGAGGTTCAGATTACCGTCTCTCAGGCGGTGGTCGCGGCCGTTTCGCTCCTCTGCCTGTCGCGAAATCTGCGAAAGTATGGCGTGCGGAAGGCGCTGTTCGTCGATCGCTGCCATGGACACACGGCGCAGTTCCGGAAACTGTACATTCAGAAGATTCGCGTGAGCATTTTTTGTTACTTTGGTTAACTAATTGCATCCGTTCGGTTGTGCTACGTAGTAATTACGCGAACATTTGCATTTGTTCACCATATTTGGGGAAAAGCAATTAAGATTGCCATTTATTTTGCTAACGTGTTTGACTATTTTTGAAATGAACTTTATGTCATCTTATAGTGCCTCCTGATGCATCAATAATTATCATTGCTATTCAAGATCTTGTTAGGGTTCCCAAGCATGGAAGTGTATTTTGTTTTCGAATTTTCTAAACAATCTGTTAGCTGTAATTGCTTGTCTAGAGTCAATAGGAGAAACTATGATAAGGTTTATGATAATCATCATCATCATTAAGAACTTTACTGGAATTTAATATTTTCTTTCTGCCTGGAATATCTGCTTAACTTAGTCCTCAATATTGTTTAGGGCTTCTACTACATGCTGGCTACATGGTTCGGGGTTTGTTTCCTATTGAAGGCGGCCCGCGAGGTTGCGCGATTGATTTTTATTAATCATGGTTCTTGGTGGTTGTCTACCGTCTTGTTTTTGGCCTCTCTAATATCTTGGTCATATGCAACACTGGTATTTCTATCTGGATGTGCTTTGTTCAATTTGGCTGGAAATTTGCTAATAATACACTTTGAAAATTACGGAAAAATTCTCGAGAGAGATTTGGATGTTTCAGTTTACATAGAGGAGCACATGAGCCTAACCCATGATTTGTCCAAAATAAGTCATAGGTTTCGGATATTTCTTCTTCTGGAGTTCTTGTTTATTACAGCCAGTCAGTTCATGGCATTGCTGCAGACAACTGAAAATCAGGGCATCATCAACATCGTCAATGCAGGGGATTTCGCAGTAAGTATCCAATACTTTGTCGAACATTTTTTGCTATTTCAAACCAGTTTTATCAATAAATTACCCCCGAGTATACTAATTTTCGCAAAAAGAAAACACACACACACATATATATATATATGTTATTGTTTTGCTAATGAACTAATCAATACAGGTATTATCCATTGTTCAGTTGGTTGGAATGGTTCTCTTTCTAAGTGCAGCGGCAAAAATGTCGCACAGAGCCATTAGTCTTGGTTCGATAGCTAGCAGATGGCATGCTCTGGTTACCTGCAATTCCAATGATGTTTCGGGTTCTGGAATTCTAGATAATGGCGGAAATACTGAGTCTTGCCCTCCTGTGGGGTCACTACCTGCTGCTTTGTCTGAAAGCGATTTGGAGTCTAGCGACTACATGCCGTTGGCTGCAAGTTTGCAGCCGGTATCTTCTACATCATCATATAACAGAAGACAAGCATTCGGTATGAGCACTACTACTACAAACTCTTAATGTTTTAGCTGCATGATAAAAATATTGAATTTTAATGGTTAATTGCGACGATTGCATAGTAAGAAAATTGAAAAAAAAAAAAAAAAAAGGAATCTTGTCATTTGATATCGATAGCTAATGATCAATCCTTGTGTATATCGATTTTAGCTGTTTCTAGTATAAGCTTTTACTGAGTCATATTTCTAGAAAAATGAAATCGACAATCTGATTATACAATTGCCGTCTGCAGAAATTTGAGCTTAGCTTAATGCTCGGTTCGTTTTCCTTTCTCCCGACTGGCTGACTACTTGTTTTGGCAGCGGATACAGTGTTGAATTTTAAATTCAGCAATGTGTTGTCTGGCAGCACACAATATTATTACAGATAGTTGATTATATATGTTAATATAATACAAATAACATAACTAATAGCACATGCTATAGTCGCATACAACATATATAACAGTTTTAGTACATGACATACTATTGTACAACACATATGTCATTATGAACAAACAATCGTATGTATATGCTGTGTGTAATAAAAATATGTGTTGTTTATATATATATATATATTATGAGTGCTGATTTAACCATTTCCCTTTGTTTTTCATCTTTATTGGGGACTATCTGAAATCTAACAAAAACTAAGTAACGATCATTACTTTTTGTTGCAGTTCTTTGCATTAACTTTTTAAGTACATCATTCCAATATCCATATCTCATATGTTAAAATATATTTCGAAGCAATATACTTCCTCCGTCCCAATACAATAGTCTTGTTTATCATTTTTGTCCGTCTCAAAACAATAGTCTTATTTCCATAAATAACTATATCACCATAAAACTACCTCTACTCTTTCATTTTTATTACATAATTGTCACTACTTTTTACACTAATACAGGGCAAAAAAGTCTTTTACTTGTACTTTTTACCGACTACCAATATAATGTCAATATTCCTTAAATTCCATGTCCAACCTAATTAAGACTATAGTTCTGGGATGGAGGGAGTATTATATTTATGGTAGTTATCTTATTGGTAGGATTCTTGCCTTAATTATTTAAACGATTTGTATATCACTATAAATACGTACGCATTCTTATGATTGAAATACCGAATTTCAGTTTCATATTCTAACATGATCATAACATGTTTTTCTACATTCTGCCAGTTGTATATGTGCAGTCGAACACAGGTGGTTTCACTATCTTTGGATGGATGGTCGATCGGATCCTCATCAACACAATCTTCTTCATCCATTTATCCCTGGTTTTCTTCGTTCTCGGGAAGACTGTCACCATCACCATCAGATAACGAACGATCGATCACAGACCCCGTCACAACAGCAGAACTTCTATTCCCTATCCTATCCTAACAAGCAAGTGAAGTGAAACAACAACATACAAGTCAGTATCTTATACTTTTTATTCCGCCTAATTTTATGCCTTCTATGCAGCTCTAATTATGCTTTATTTATAATTTACATCTCATGAAATATTTGTTTTGCTCTGGGCACATATGTATGCGAGTATTATGATATTTTCATTTCCCAGCATGAGAAATTTTGTTTTATAGAAACATGAGAAATTTCCATATTAAGTTTTTATAATTTCTTCTACTTTTCTTATGGGTAGATTCCAAACAAACATCTGTGTTATATATATATATATATATATATATTTACATAATCCTCTATATTTAGTTTAGGGAAAAAAATCATTTTTGGTCCCAATATAATTAAAATTAATCAATTTGGTACCAATATAACGAAAATTTATTATTTTTTGTCTCAATATAACCAAAATTTATCATTTTTTGTCCGAATATAAATTTTTTATCAATTTTAGTCATAATATAATCAAATCTTATTTTTTTTGTCCAACCGTCAACAAAATGATGAAAAATGCTGCGGTTTTGATTTTTTTTCACGTCAGCGTTTTTCGTCGGTGTGGGACAAAAAAAAGATAAAGTTTGATTATATTGGAAGAAAAGAAAAAAAAAAGTTTGATTATATTGGGAAAAAAAATGATAAGTTTTGGTTATATTGAGATTAAAATTAATAAAAATTTTATATTGGGACCATAAACGATGAGTTTTGGTTACATTGGGCTAAAATTGTTAAAATTTTTATATTAGGACAAAAATGATTTTTTCCCTTTAGTTTATTATATAGTTAATGGTTATGATATATATAAAAAAAAATTCTATTAACCAAAATCCTTCATCCGAATTCATATTTTTTTTAATTTCTATATTATATTAAAACTCATTTTACATGCTAAATAAATTCATCAATATTTATATTTAAATCATTACTTGGTATAGATCGGGTTTTAATTAGGAAAGATAAAATCTGACATAGTATTTATGGTGATTATGATTAATTAATTAATAATTATGACTTATGATATTTTATATATATATATATTATGTAATAAATATTGTTACTAATTTTAAAATAAAGATTAAAATATGTATTTAAATATTTTAAAAATTATATTTCAATAAAAAAATATATGCCATATAGATATTATTTTATAGATAATAAAATTTTACATAATATAAATAAATAAAAATATATATTTATTTATAATTAATATAAATTAATTTTATAAAATATATCAAAAACATTAAGCATTGCCGTATAATTAAAAATGACATTATACAAATAAGTTTTTCTGGTGCAGTTGGTCCATCAACAAAATAAATGAAAGATGATTTTGTGTCTAATTTACTAATCACAATGTCATAGACTTTCTTCTGTTATGTACAGGGCTGGGAAAATACACCGAAATATCGAAATACCGCATATATCGTATCAAAAATATATTGAAAAAATCGATATACCAAATTATTTTTTATATTTCGGTATTTCGGTATTTACCAAAATTATTTACTTTTTATATTTAATATATGGTAATATATTCTTAATAATTTTAAATAGTAAAGAAAAGTACTACTTCGGTATTGCTGTATTTTGGTATACTGCGGTATATATCGATATTGTTTAAATTTTGATATTTCAGTGTAATACTTTATATGTCAATACCGTATAAATTTCGGTATAATACGGTACATATCTACCGTTTAAATATTGATATTTCGGTATAATACGCTATAAATCGATACCCTTTAAATTTTAGTATTTCGATATAAATCGGTATATACTGATAACTCACAGATAGTTCAGTATACCGAATAATCGGTACGGTCGATATAAAAATCGAATTTTCAGTATACCAATTTCTTGTTTCAGTAACGGTACGATGAATAACTATACCGAATATTTTGGTACGGTATACGATATAAATTTCGGTATTCCGTATCGAACCAGCCCTATGATATGTTCGAGTGCAAGTAAATATTTTGCTAGGACACCGGCAATATTGAAGCAACATTCAAAGAAAATATCTTTCGTTATAACAATTCCACCAATAATTATACCACATTGTCTTTTATGTCATGTTTGAGATGTACAATTTCATGCAAAGTATTTGGGAAAAATCCTTATACTCTCCATGTCCCTTAAAATTGTGCTCACCTTTTATTTTCGTTTGTCTTTTAAAAACATTTTTATTTAGTAAAATAATTATACTTCCTCCGTCACAATACAATAGTCTTGTTTACCATTTTTGTCCGTCCCAAAACAACAGTCTTATTTCCATAAATAACCATATCATCGTAAAGCTACTCCTACTTTTTTTATTTTTATTACACAATTGCCACTACTTTTTACACTAATACACTCACAAGGGCAAAAAGGTCTTTTATCTATACTTTTTACCCATTACCAATATAATATTCCTTAAATCTCGTGTCCAACCCAATTAAGACTATATTTATGGGACGGAGTGAGTACCACTTTTTAAAAGGCAAAAGTAACAAAAAGTATCAACCAAAATTCCATACATTAAAACCCATGCCGAAATGTTTCGAGTACAAGTTTGAGAGACGGACGGAGTACAATAACTTAAGATTTTGGGCCTATGAATTCAAAGCATTCATTCTAAAGAATTTTGTAAGCATCCTAAGGGTAGGATTGAGCGAGACAGTAATTTTTTGGCTTGCTTGGAATGGCGTGTATTGGCAATTAGACATGTGGAGTTGAAGAGTAAGAACGAGGAGCAACCCACCGACCAGTTCGGAAAGCCAAGATTTCATCAATTTGTTAGTTGTTTGAAGAAGAGCCTACAAAATATGAAACCCGATCATGTCTTTTATAGATATATTTATACAGATATTTGACGAGCTTAATCATTGAGCAGATTCCAACATTAATATGACAACAATCAAATTTAGCGAGAAATTTTGGGTTATAAAGAACAATCCAACGACTGCCCAATACCCGAACATGAGCATAGTCAGTTGACCTATAATAACATCATCTATATTATAGAAATCCATTTTCAGCATGAGCATTTTAGGAACAAAATTTTTTGGGTAATATTTTTTGCATTTTTCATTCAACATACAAATATTGTTTGGATTCGATAGTCCATAAAGATCATAAAGTATTTGGTAACCAAAGAATACAAATAAGGGTGTTGTAATTGATCATAAGATTGAGAACTATGCATGTTCAATTGAGGAAACATTATTAAGAGCATATATATGTGGAAAATCTCTTTTCTAAAATTCAATAACCTACAAGAATGCTTGAACTTGATCAAGTATATTATTCTTAAACAAATCATGCTTTTCAATTCCTCTAGCTTCATTCGGAACACTCGTCCGACAAGTTCCAAGCGGTTTGTACTACTATCATTAGATAACAAACTAGATTGAATATCAAGCCAATTAGGATTGCAAGTCATTATAATAATAATAATATAAAAATATATATATATATATATATGCTTTTCAAAAATTTACACAAGTGCCGTAGCATTCATGTACCTTTATTGCATGTCGTGAAGGACACCTATAATGGAAGTACGATTGACTTTCTAATCATGGAGAAGTCATTAAGGCCTTGGCTATTATAAGCATCTAGAATTCCTTGAAATTTTTCTTGACGGTATTTATTTTGGGACTGTTCTAACCTGTAGAAATCAAGTCGTTGAATTTTAATTTTAATGTATTGGTCCACGATATATTGTTGTACGAAACTTTTTAATAACACACTTCCACTAGAAGGGCGCATTTGCAATCAATGGCAATAATATTCTCTAATTAAAATGTAACTCTTATCCCTATGCCTGTTTTAACTGCTACTGCTGCAAAAATGAAAGAAACGGTCAAAACCGACATGGTATTACAACATACAACATGATGGAAAGACTTGAAGAAATAGTGCAAGATGTCAAAAAAGAAAAAGAAAAAATGCATGTGGTGGCTTGCAACTTCATCTTTTATAGTTTCATTGTATAAAGTGCTAGCATTAGGCATTAGTAGCACATTACACATTAGAAATCTGACGGTTTTTTAGAATACAAACATGCATCCAGACTGACAGTATGAGTCGAGCAACGGATATTGAACCAGATCGTCTGCAAATGAAAAACATGAAAACTTTTCTAATACAACCATCAACTGGATAAACATGAATATCACGAACCATAACTACAGAGTCATTTCGCCCATCTTGTCATATCAAAGAAATGTTATCAACAAATTGTATACTATCTGATCGAGACATGAATTTGTTTTTAAGTAGATTTGATAATCATGGACATAATTTATTGTATATAACTATCTAAAGAATGTTGTATAAGTATTTAAAGAAAACAAGGAGATAAGTAATGAAACAACCAGGGGATGGAGATTTGGGTTGCTAATAAGACGAGCCTCTATTTCATTTTTGGGCCGAAGGACTGAGTATGTAAAAAATTTCTACTTAAAAAAAAATTTACCATAATAATTAGGACCGACAAACGGATCAGGTTGGGTCGGTTTTAGGTTCGGGTCAGCTTAAACGGGTTACAAAACCCTTGATCTGAACCTGACCTATTTAATTAAATGGGTTTGATATTTGCAACATTAACCTGACATTTTATCAATTGGGTCAACCTACTCATATAACCCGTTTAAATCTAAAATTTTTAAATTTTAATTTACAATTACAATTTATACTAACAAAATTTTCAAATGCATAATATATATACATATTGAAACAAAAAATTATTTATTCATATCATGAAATCGATATTCAAGAATTGAATTAACAAACACTGCGTAATAGTACACAACATAATCCTTTATTTTTTATTATTTATTTTTATAAAATTGGCCATAAATATTGAATTGTATTGATAAAATTTTAAAAATATATTTAAATTTAAAATAATATTAATTAAACGGGTTAAATAAGTTATTTTCCGATCGAAAATATAAACCTTAACCTGACCCATTTAATTAAATAGGTTAAACGAGTTTGACCCAATTATTAATTGGGTCGAAAATCTCAACCCAAACCCAACTATTTCAAGTCAGGTTCGGATCGAGTTTTCAGATCGGGTTAATTTTTGGAAGCCCTATTAATAATAATAGTAGTCCCGTGAGAAATGGTCTAATAGTGCGAGGGTTGAATTTATGACTGTGAAGTTCAAACTCCCGACGCCTTAGGTCACCTACCATACATAATTCACCTAATGTGACTTATTTGTCGGGCCTAATTTGTAGGGTACTAAGTTCGGCCGAGAGTTTACCTAATATGTACTTTCGGGTAGCGGCTGCGAATTTCTACGTAATAAAAAAAAATTAAAAAAAAATACTAGTAATAATAATAATAATCCATAGAGGCACAAGTTGAAAAGCCATAACCAGAGCTCTTACATACAAAAAGATTACACACATCCTCAGGAAGAAGTAAGGAAGGAACTAATCCTCAAACGATAATCCTTCATCGCTCAATCTCGAAGACTCCGTGCCATTCACGTGCGGTTGTTCCGACTCTTCTTCATTCTCACTACGAGAAGAAGAAGGCGGAGGAGAGGTCAATATGCTTAAGATCAAGTCATCCTCCGCGTCCGAATCCTCCTCCAAATCGCTCTCTGAATCCTCCTCCTCCTCGTCGCCGCCGCGCCGTCCCGCTTCCATTTCGCGAGCTTCCCTCTGCCTCTGCTGCTCGATGGCGTCTTCGTACGACATTTCGTACCAAACCTGTCCTTTCCCGACGATGGATTTGTTGTGAGTGTCCGTCATTCGTTCTTGCCGGCTCTTCTCCGAATTCTTCGGCTCCCCCCAGTAGTCGTAGCGGTACAACGGGTTGTCCGGGTCGTATTGATCCTTGTCGAATAGTCTGGGATCGACGTACCTCCCCGGTTCCTCTAATGGAAGCCCGAGCGTCCGTCGACTGCAAGTTAGAAAAGATTAAAAAGTTATCGGAGAAAGTACATTTGAAAATATTTTATGGAAATTGGAAAATTATAGACAGCATAAAACATATTCGAGAGACTCAAATCTAAATAATCTCTACTAAATCTAAAATTGGATACTTAAAATCAGGAAGAAGGAATACCAGCTTATGTCGCGGAGGAGAGCTTCTCTTTCCTCGAAAGACCGGCGCCAATGGATAAGGTCGTATTCGTTCATTTCCTCGTTTCGCCTCATCAACTTGATTTTGTATTTCTCCCCTCTTTCTTCGGCTTCTTTCATGAGTTTATAATAACGCTGAAGCGAAGCAGAATTGGAAACTCAAAAACTTGAAGAGGGTATATACATATAAGATAAAATTGCTCGTAACTCCACTGTGATTTCGAAATTCAGCTTAAAATCTCTTTATACTTTAAAAATTGCATGACACCCCTTATACTTCCAAACACATTGCATGAAACTACACCGACATGAAACCTCCATTTTGTGATGAAAGAATGATATCCTATTTATATTTTTCGCATGACCGGGATTTCAAGGAACATTTTTTAAAGTATAAGGGGACGCAATGCAATTTTTAAAGTAAGGTGGGGATTTAAGTTAAATTTCAAAACCATATAGAAGTTTAATGCAACGTTTTTTAAAGTATAAGAGGGCGTCATACAATTTTTAAAGTAAAATAGATTTACGCCGAGTTTCGAAATTATAAGGAAGTTATGAACAATTTCGCCTATATAATATACATACATATGATTACATATATATATATATGTTCGATATGTGATGCAATACCTGGCGCTCCGCAAATGCAGCTTCCAAGTCGAGTTCTTTCACGCTTACTTTCTGTCAAGCGATAGAGAGAGAACAACGTCGCATTTATTGCCATAATTCTCAACCATATAACGATGAAAATGAACATTACTTACCACTTTAATATAAGGAAGCAGCGAATTCTTATAGTAAACTTTATCATATTCGACAGAGTTATCCTCGTCGAATTCTTCGTCATCGCTCAATTCCGACAATTTTTTGCCTTCGTATTTAGCAGGATTTGCCGCCATCTCATCCAAAATCATCTGTTCGGCATTATGAATCTGCCATAGCTGCAAGCATACAAAAGTAATAGAAATGCGAACGAAAGGAAATATAAGCCCAACTTTTGAAGTATAGAATTGTTCTTAGAAAATCTAAAGATGAAGCAATGCTGTGGTTCTAAAATACTTTAGGCAATGCTCATAAGAAATACCTTATCACAATACGGGTGATTCGATAATAACGGCTCCTCCTCCCATCTGATTCCGGGATCTTTTCTTGGAACAGGAGGTCTTCCACAATCGCGCTGCCAAAAAAATGAGCCAAACTACTGAAGAAAACATAAAACAGAAAGTACACTATTCCCGTAACACATATTAGATTAGTACATTGAATAAATATGTTCTAAACCATAGATATTTCAGCGTCGAAACAAATAAAGAAGAAATGAGTCTCAAATTCATTTAGCATTTACATCTACTAAGTTACAACAAACTCGGGTCTCATAAGAACTGTTTACATAAGACCAGTAGGACAAATTGAAACTTGAAAGAAGAGAATTTACTTACTCTCAATTCATCAGGGTTAACATCTTCATCCCGGTGAAATATTGGTGGGAAGTCAAATTTATTGAAGCTGCAAGCGGCGTTAAAGGAAGCACATCAATGAGTTCTAGAATAGTTGCATATCGAATATTTTTCTACAAACTGGAAGGTGGTATAGACTAACAGATTCGAATGCACAAAGGTATATAAATCCATGAAGAAAGAAATACAAGGAAGCTCACATTAAGTGATCGATATTAGGGTAGACAAACCGCAGCTCAATTGGAAATCGAAAGCGATAAGGATCTCTCTTCGCCTGCAAATGGAGGAAATTTTTACACTGTCCATCAAACATACTTCAAAGGAAAAAAATAAAATGTTGACGGTTTTGAGAACATAATTATTAATCGTATCCCACAAAGTAAACACACTCTAAGTTGCTGATGTACTGATAACTCAACAACTTCAAATTAAGGTTTCTTCAATTTAAGCAGCGCTATGATAAAATTTAAGTTCTCACATAAGCTCATGTCTAAAATACATTTAAGTGTATACTTGAATGACACTAATTAGTGTGCCATTTTCGGGGTTTTTTTAACTCATCTTAATTACATCTGTTCTATGATTTTACATACGTAATGCAGTTTATATGTATGTGTTCTGGTGTTTACAAGTATTGGTAAACTTCATAGTATACTAGTGGTTTGATAACGACTGATCAGTACAAAAATAAAAGGCAACCGTGATTAATAGCAATATAAGAACATTAAATTACAGATAGTAAGACTTACCAAAATTTCAACAATGACATTCATACCAACTTTGATATGATGCCGGATCCAATACCAGTCGTTTCGTTTGATAGGAACCAAGCTGAAATGAATCAAACAAATTTATCATTTCATACAAAATCCTGAGATAAAAGTGTGATGCGAGCTACACATCAATATAATGCAAAGATTAGTTGCCCCTGAAAGATATTCGACATTGCCTTCATCACCAACTAATATGCATATCGAGCAAAAATCTCATGAATACTACCCTTAGAACTACTTGCTAAATATATGATCGCACCATTTCAAGATTACTTGCAACTTATTATCAATTAGATTTACATGGCATCTAAGCTCTGTTCTTTTCAAGACTAATGAATTGGAACAGAATCATTTGATTTCGAGTACGGAGCAAATAAACTCACTAAAACCTCAGAAACCCATGCAATATTAATATAGTAACTCGAGTGCGAGTTATTCAATTTTTATCAGTTCAAAGTTATGCATTGTATCACCTAATTTAGTCGCTGATAAATCGAATTTTGGCAGTGCATAAGTTAGTTCAAAATAACCAGAAAACAGACACCTAGAATTTCAACATGGAACTGAAATCGAAAGGCTTCTTATAGACAGCTCTACTCGATCATATACGACAAGAGTGGATAAAATGAAAATAGCACAGACCCATCATACACGCCTCCAATGTCCACAAATGCTCCTTGATAAAGATGCAGCGCAGTTACTTTCCCGGCACATATCTGAAAATAAAAGAATCCATGATATCGAAATTGAACTCTGTAAAACCAGTTAGACTTAACTATACAAAACTCATTAATATCTATGCATTTGGATTTACGCTAGAAGCAAACATCGTACACTTAAGGGTTCGATAAGAAGTTGAAAACAAGAAAGGAATCAAACAGAAATTCGATCAATTCACTTACTTGTCCGGGGAAATAGAATGGTAGCTCATACTGCAAAACCCAAAACATCGTAGAAAACAGTAATGGTCAGCTCATCTATTTACCATGAAAACTAATAATGATAAACCATTACGTCAACCTAAATATTAGAGGAAAAACTACGATGAAATACATCAAATAAAGGTAAAAAAGCAGCTTTCCTGTTACCATTTCTTCCTTATAATCTTTTCCCCTCTTCCTCCTGCCAGGATGATAATCTTGATCATACTGCAGGGTTAAAAAAAAGATATCTCAACAACAAGTTTCTTACGAGCAAAATAAGATGACTCTATCTCAGGAATGTTCAATGATCATCATACATCACACAGCTACGAGTAATAAGCCAATTAGTCGTTGCTTTTCAGCAACTACTACCGATGCACACAGCCTAAGAACATTCTTAACTACACGAAAGAATATTAATGCCAAAATGGTCCTTCCCAACCCCTAACATACCAAAATTTCGAAATGCTCATCAAACTTCAATTGCTTTATATGAAGAAGATTATCCCATTCTCTATTTACTACAATGTTCTTCAATTTCGATCAGAAAAGTAACAAATCAAGAAAAAAAAATCCAAGCTCGTAAGTAGACAATTTTCGAAAGACCTTAACACACAAAATTAAAATGCAGCTTGAATTAGAAAGAACTAAAAACCATAATCACATCCTCAAATTCGAACATTGAAAGCAACCTTATACGATTCCTCCTCCAATCGGTCCCGATTCGCCTCAACCCACTCGGTGTACTGCTTCAAGAACATTTTATACCTCTCCAAGCACAAATCCTTTTCCTCAGCCTCCATATCCACCTTCTCCTCCACAGTCTCCAAATCCACTCTCTTAGAAGAGAACACCTTATGCGCGCCACGGATGAACTCGAGCTCCTCCCTGTCCACCTCCCACCCTCGCGGCGGCCAATCCCGCGGCGGCACCAGCGCCACCACCAACGGCCCACTCCACCGAGTCTCCAGCGGCTCAGGAATCTCCCCCTTCATTTCAAACTGCTTGGCGTAGTACTCATCCTCAGTCAGCCCCATCTCCTCCCTCTTCTGCTTCCGATACTTAGGGCTCAGCATCTTGAAAGCTTCGATGGCCTCCGGCGACTGCAGCGGAACCTCCTCCCCTTCGTTCAGCGACTTCCGCGCGAAATCGGCTTCCGGCGTGAGGATTTCCTCCCAGGGAGCCCATCCGCGCTCAATCCAATTCCGGCGCCGCGCCTCCTCCTCGGTTTCCTTCTCCTTGGGGAGGAAGGAGGCTAGGTAGGCCTCGTCGTCGCCGACGGGGAACTCGTCGGAGGAATAGGAACGGAGGCGAGAGGGGGGACGGGAGAATGGGAAAGTAATGGAGGTTGAAGAGGGTTTAAGGAAGGGTTTTGGAGAGGGTAGAGGGAAAATGGCGCAGGAGAATGAGAATGGAAGCGCCATTATCGCAGTGAGTTTTGAGCTTTGGAATTAAAATCTCTTTGGAATATAACCACAGGGGCTTTGTGTTAATTCTTACCGGATAACGGTTCCTTTTAGTTTTGGGCAAAAAATCATTTATTTGGATTGTTATAATGTAACGCCGCCAATTTTTGTGTTACGCAGCTCCAAAAAATGGACCTTGCTTTCCCCTTTTTTACTATTTTTTTTTTAATTTTTAATTTTCCTAGATTTTTAAAAAATTATTATAAATTATAAATATAAAAAATTATTTTAAATAATAAAAAAATAGAATATTTGAAGAATATTAATAAAAAATATTAATGAAGTAAAGATGGCCTGATATATCGTAACATAAATTTCACTTGCATATACTTATTAAGAGTGATTAAAAAATAATTTGTTCGACCATTTTGTTTATATCACCATATATATGTTCTATCATTAATTTCTTTGGGCGTCAGAATATTTATTCTTTATGTATTAGCTTACATTTTTTTTTATTATATTTTACTTTTTCTAAAAAGAAATTAAATTTTCATATTTCATATTGACATGTGAAATCGATATAATTTTTGACACTATGTAATACTCCCTCCGTCCCAGATACCGTAGACGACACGTATTTTAGAAGGAGTGTAATTAGTAAATAATTAAGAATGTATCAGTGAAAATAATTATCTTATAATATAAATAATTATAAATTAATATTAAGATAATTAGTTTAATTAAAATTTTAAAAAATAAAATTAAAAAAAAAAAATTAAAATGAGATTAAAGTGTGTAATCATTTTTAAAAAAAAAGTAAAGTGACATGGTACGTGGGACAAACAGAAACGGCAACGTGGACATAGTACTTGGGACGAACAACGTGGACATGGTATCTGGGACGGAGGGAGTAATAAATTTAGGGTGTGTTTGTTTGGGGGATTAGATTATATTTCCACTATTTATCCAATTTTTTCTTTAAAAATTACATCAAATCAAACACCTATTTTTTATTTTCTATATTATACTAAAAATCAATTTTACATTCAAAACATCATCTCAACAACTATTTATATCACATCATACAACTATTTAAATTCAAAATTTTTACTATTCAAATCTCAACTCAAAATCCAAACCCCCGAACAAAAACATCCAATAGACAGGATAAAAAAACATGTGTGAGTAAACTTGATGGATGGAAAAAATTCAAAAAAACCAACTTTTCATTGGGTTGAAAAATAACTTCTTTGAGCTAATTTGTCACATATGTTTATTCAATGTTTGCAAAATATTTTGACATCAAAAGAAAACACTAGTTGACATAAGGTTACATAGGCCGATCTAGAAAAAAATTTTAGTGGTGGCACAATAGATATATTAAAATAATAATATTAATATTAATAAAAATAAGATATTATTAATGATATAGAAAATAATAATATAATACTATTATATATATTTAAAATATAAATTGATTCTTTTCATTGAATTGAATTTTAATTATTAGATACTTATGACAGTTTAAATTTTAAATAATTTACTAAAATATTTTTGGATAACAATGACATTCAAATTTTAAGTGAGGACACTCAAATTTTTTTAGTGGTGGTACAATTATTTAATTATAATTTTTTTTTTTTTTTGATGTGATAAAATCTCTGGTGGCCAGTGCCACCACTGCCTTCTACTTGAATCCCCCCTTGTACCGTTAGATGTTGAGAACATAAAATTGTATGACTTATTAACAACCAGCAATTTTGAAAGTGTAATTTAAATTAATTAGAAAGATATTTTTAGCCAAATCTTTAAATAGATGTTACCTTTTAGACAAGATATAAAAGAATCGATTTTATAGTATTTGATAAGAAAGATCTTAAAGTATATTGATATTAGAGAGTGCATATTCTAATAAATTTTTAAGAGAAGTATTTGATCTATTAGTGATCATGTTATTGGTATACAAACAACTTTTGGTTTATTTTTTATTTTTTTTCTTTTATTTTTGTCTTCTATATTACAAGATCGATCACACTTATCCAATGAGATTCAAAAGTCCAAAATCAAGATAGCCAAAATATCATACCAAACATCTCATTGTATCAAATAGTAGTAGGGATGACAATGGGTCGGGTCCAGCCGGGCCCGATACCCGATCCGAATACACATGGTTGGACCTGAGATCCGAACTGGACCCCACCATACCCGGACCCGACCCGAATAATACCCGACAAGACCCGATGGACCCGATAGACCAGAAATTATTTTTTTTAATTTTTAAAATTTAACTTAAAATTGGACCCGAATCCGGATCTAGACCCGACATATATTAAAATTTATATATTTTATTAAAAAATTTTATAATAAATAAATAAAACTAAAAAACATATTTTTAATATAATTTATATTATTAAAAATTAATTTTTTCATATATATAATTAATATATTAGTCGGGTCCGAGTAGGGTCCACCATTGGACCCGAGACCTGACCGGACCCGATAAAGGTACATAATACCCGATTCGGACCCGGATCCGATGCCTGTATCATTGGACCCGATCCTAAATAAATAAGTCGGATTCGGGTCGGATCTCGGGTCTAGCCGGACTCATTGCCATCCCTAAATAGGAGTACTATTAAAAAAAAAAAAAAAAAAAAGGAGTACTATTTAAATTCAATTTTTATTTCTATTTAGGTTTTTTATTCTCAAATCACTAAATCAAATACAAATTAAATCCATCCACGTGTTTGTTTGGAGTTTGAATTTTGAACTATGATTTGAATAGTAAAAAATATGAATTAGAATAGTGATATTATGATATGATGTGATAGTTTTGAATATATTTCAATATAATATTAAAAAAATAAAAAATAAGTGTTTGATTTAATATGTTTGAAGAAATTTGTTTTTATAAATAGTGAAAATCTAACAAAATCTTTCAAACAAGCAATTTTGAATCATAGCCGTTAAAATCGAAACTAAGGGTGTGTTTGTTTTGGGGGATTTTTCCCAAAATATACTATTCATCCAATTTTTTTCTTGAAAAAACATTAAATCAAATACTAATTTTTTATTTTTTATATTATATTAAAAATTAATTTTACATTTAAAATATCAGATCATACGACTATTTCAATTCAAAAATTTTACTATTCAAATCCTAACTTAATATTCAAAATCCCAAACAAACACGAAAGCTCGAACCCTATCCGGAAACCCAAACCACTGTTCATTTTTAAAAAAATATCACATCAAATACACTTTTTTTTTATTACAAAATATTAAATCAAATATTAACTTTTTACTTTTTTTTTTTTTTTTTTTTTTTTTTTTTTTTTTTTTTTAACTTCCAAATTTCCAAAAACCTTTGAACCCTCCTATCCAAACAAACCCTTAATACTTCAAGTTTTCCAAAACGCATACTTCATTGAGAGCTTGCAATGCAAATGCAATGTTCGTCGACTCGACTCGACTAATGAAAAACAGTGGTGCACAGCAAAAGCCTGCCGGAATCGATCCGGCTTCGCTGCCGATATACTTCGAACAAAAGCTCCTCATCGCCCTTCACATTAAGGCAGCCCTCCATGTCATGGCAAGACGTACGATGATGTCCTAATTTCGGCGTTCGGCATGCATCATTGTCTCGAGACTGGAAGAGAGCCGGGCTCCAGCTACCCCGGCTGCTGCTGCCGGAGGGAATGATTCGCTCCGTATCCTGCAAGAAATCTCGGGTTTAGGAATAATCTCGATGATGATACTAGGTTGTCGGTAAATGACATTACTAGAAAGGTCCGACATCATATTATCCAAAAAAACCACCGGTAAAGACACATTTCGCCTGTAGGGCTAATGTACTCCAGCAATGAAAGAAAACTGGTAAGGTAAAGTCAATTCTCGGTCCTTAATTCGCTTCTTTTTCGATTTTGGTCCGTATTTTGATCTTTTCATCAATCTTATGCAATTGCGAAAGATCACAATATAGGATGGATTAAAACCAAAATTATCAATCGAAAATGATAAAATTGCCAATAACTTCTCTGTGGTTTCGAAATTCAGCGTAAATCGCCTTTGTACTTTAAAAATTGCATGTGCCCCTTATACTTTAAAAAATATTGCATGAAACCTTTTTTTTACATTTTATGCGTGATGAGAAGATGATTTTTCATCTATATTTTTTGCATGACGGGGAAGTTTCATGTAATATTTTTGAAAGTATAAGAGAGAGCCATGCAATTTTTAAAGTACAGGGAGAGCTGAATTTTGAAACTACACGGAAGTTGTGGACAATTTTGCCATCGAAAAATAGAATGACCAAAATCGAAAAAGAACGTAAATATGTTTTTTTAAGTAGAATTAAGGATACGAAGTTACCGTCTCTGTTTCCCATCGTAGTAGTTTCGGAGTGACGGGTATTTCTATCTTGGAATTGGTCGAGGGAGATGCGTCGTGAATAGTCTCCCATTGCAACCACGGGAAAACAACGCCGTCCGTTTCTCCGGGACAAGAGATAGCAGCGGCGGTGGAGCTCTTGTAAGGATCTTTTGGCATCCTCGACCCTTCGATAGTCGAAGTTCCGTCGCTCCTCTCTCCATCGAATGACGACATGTCGGTGTCTTCGACGTTGGAAATGAAATCCTCGAGGTATTTCTCTGCCTCCTCCGTCAGCCTTCTCGACATCCGGTGTCTGTCGCTGCTTCTCTACAACACCAATAACTATATTTAACTAAAATCAACAACGGAAAATACGTACATAGTACCGATGCTTGTATACGTAAATATACCTTTCGCGCCCGTATTGGCTTCTCGGCTGCGGACGAACTCCTTGAATCGAGAATCGTTCTCGCATCGTCCTGAAATGTCTCGAAATTGTCCGTAGGCAACGAATGGACACGCGTTACTGGTGAGCGATTTCGACCCATCACCTTTAATAAACATTGTTGTAACAGATTATGATTAATGATCGAATAACAAACAAAAACGTAAAGAAGACAGATTTACGTGGTTCACTAACGTTGGCTATATCTACGTAAAGAAACGAAAAACAGATTTATTTGAGGGATTCAGATTCTGATTTTTTATACACATTAACCTAGATTATATATCTCTAAGTCTATTCAAATAAATTAAAAGAATGCATCAGAAGAATTGAACCTAATATTAACTCAAAAGCTCAATACTGCGTACTGTCGGACCAGGGGCCTCTCCGCGCACCCGGACCCCAAGCAAGGGGGACTTCACCCCCTTGGCCCCCGACTCATTGACCGAGCAGCGAGACCCCCGTAAAACTCAGCAAAGTGAAAAATTAGATTCAAAGCATATCAACACACACGTACAACGACACATTATTTTAAGCATCCAATCCAAAATAATTCGCTGTAATAATCGAAGTAAATTAAACGTCCCAACGTACTTGATTTAGCTCGGTTCTGATCTCCTCGACGGCATGTCTCAATTCTTGCCGCATTGCTTCATATAATCCGCCATTTCCAGCACCGTCGATAGAAGGCTCGCGCTGAAAACCCGGAAATAATGCTCAAGCCAAGACATTGAACAATACAATACTATAAAACATAATACAAATTCGTATATATAAACCTTCTTTTGAGAAAAAACGGGCCGGATTATCTTCTCGAATCCATTTCTGCCGAGATGTGTATCCTTCGACTTCAATTCATCATCGGTCAGGGCGGACGAGTGGCTCTGGATAATCCGATTCATAAATACATTTACCCAAAAAAGACACAAGTGCTCGGAGAAAATTGCAAAAAATATCACACACTTATACCCTAATATCACTTTTGTCCTGTATTTATCTTGCTGGCAAAATATATCCCACATGTTTACAAAAGTCATTATTTATGTCATTTGCCCGCGCGTGACATTCACACCACGCGCGGCCAAATGATTGAAATAACGATTTTTGCAAACATGTAGAATATATTTTGCCAGCAAGATAAATACCGGATAAAAATGATGACAGGGTATACATGTGGGATATTTTTTGCAATTTTTCCCGAGTGCTCGTCGTAAAGTAAATATGTAAAACTTACGGAGTATCCGTCCTGGGAAATCGATAGATCTTTGTAGCTCTGAGTTCTTCGGAGTTTCCGATTGTTTGAAGCTGTTGCTTTTGAAGTTGCCTGCATTTGGCCATTTGCATTTGCGGGAGCTTTCGGGTTACTGCGATTGCTTGAGCTGTGGAAATGATTCGCCTCACTCTGCAATTCAAGCGTATATCATTAAAGTGAATCGAGGCAATAGAACTAGGCTTGCACATATTAATAACAAACTATAAAACTATGAACATATTTGTATTTAGTTATCGAAAGCCTGCGTGATACTCTATTTACTTGTGAGTTTTTAATTTTGGGCTTTAATTTTGAATAGTAAAATTTTGAATTAAAATAGTTGTTTGATGTGATATAAATATGTATTGACTTGATATTTTTAATGTAAAATTAAATTTTAGTGTAATAAATAAAAATCGGTTGTTTCACTTGATATTTTTTAAAAGAACAGAAAATTGAAATAGTAAAATCAATAGTAAAACCTCACAAGTAAACACACAAAATTGCCGTTGGTATTTTTTTACTATACAATTTTTCATAAATATTATAAAAAAAATACAATATTTAGACATATTAACCTAATATATATTACTTTCTACATATTAACCTAATATATATTACTTTCGTCTGCATCAAAGGATTATATTTACATTTTGCATAATTGCAATTAACAAATAAAATATTTTTATATTAGTACAATTATTTTTACAAATGTTATTTTTTTTATTATAAGACATTATTTTTCCGCAAAAAAATAAATATAACTCTAAAGCCAAGTAGGAGGTATAATATATATGCTTACTATTTACACAAAGTCACAAAATCAAACCCAAAATATTACTCACCCCGTCCCTTGAGAATCTATTCATTTTTCTATTTTGGTCTGTCCCACGGCAAAGTATTGATTTGAGTAATTGCATTATCTATCTAACATTACCTAACATTACAAATACCCTTTTAATTTACAAAGATGTCGTTACTTTTATATCATACAATACTAATAAGGTTAGTTTCATCTTTTTACCTTTATTTCTACTCCATTTCAATATAATACTAATATTTCTAAAACTCCGTGCAAAAAACAAATGGACAGATAGACATGAGGTGGAAGGAGTATTACGGGTTACATTTTTATATTTTGCATAATTGTAATTACCAATAAAATATTTTTATATTTGTATAATTTTTATTACAATTATTATTATTATTATTATTATTATAAGACACTAATAAAAGTATTTTTATCATTTTCTTTAAATTTGTACAAGTAAAAAAATAAATATAACCTTTAAAACCGAAATAAAGAGTATAATATATATACTTACTATTCATGCAAAATATTATTATTTTTTTAATATTTTTTATGCAATTCTCCGCACATTACTTTTTCTAAACAAAACTACAATTGCAGTTGCCATCAGACAACGTTTCCAAATTGATTTTATTGCAATAGAAAAGGAAAATCCCAGCAGATGAATCTAAAGTTTCTCTTACTTAAATTGACTAAAATCTCTCTACATAATATATACTTCCGTCCGTACATTTGCTTTGCTAAGTAAATTATTTGCACTTTTCAATTTTATTCAACATTCAGAAAATATCATTACGCAAATTGGGGCTTTTGCAGAAGCGAATCGAATCAAACCGAACAAATATTCTAACAGAAAATTTTGATTATCGGTTAACATAAAATATTTATAGTATTTACAAATATCTCGAACCGAAATTAAAAAATATATATATAAAAAGAAATTAAAATTCTAATTAAATAAAAAATATTTACAAATATTTCAAATATTCGAACCGAAATCTACCCGTATATAATTATTAATATAAATTTTAAAATATAATTATATAAATACATAAATATAACCGAACCCAAAAAAATATGAAAAATCGAAAATGAACCGAACAAATATCGAACAAATATAAATGTACAGTATTTGTATTCGAATGAAATTTGATCGGTTAACTGAAAATTCGATTCGGTTCGGTTGGACAATCCGGTTCGATCTTTTTGTCCATCCCTATTTTTAGCTATTCACCTTTTTTTTTTTTTAATATTTATTATTTAAATTTCATTTAAAAAAATTTAGGAGCACCCGTTTTGAAATTTAAAAAATAAAAAAAAATGAAAAATGAGAAGTACAATCACCTCGGAATCGCTGATGTGATGCCGTGCGACCGACAGCGACCGCCGCCGCCCGGAGTAACTCACACCTCTCTCCCTGCCACCGCCGCCGCCTCCTTCGGCGGCGGCGGGCCTACTAGAAGCCTCTCCGCGAGTCCTGGATACGGACCGGCTCTTCCTCCTCGACGACGCCGTATCGCTCGCCCACCGCCCAATCTCCCCCCGCCGGGAAACCGATCTCCCCCGCCGCCCCGCAGCTCCGCCGTCGCTGCCATTGTCGTTCCACGAAGAAGAAGACGAGAAGAACTCCAGCGCCAGATCGTCCAAGCTGATCTCCGATAACTGCGCCGCCGCCGCTCCTCTCGGCGCGGTCTTCGTCTCCTGCTCGACGTCCTGCCGAGAGAACCGGCTGACGCTTCTGGAGCGGCGGCCGGCGCCGCCGACGGTGTCTCGTCTGGTCGTCGATCTGAACGCCGACGTCGCCATCGGCAATGAATTTAGAAAATTAATAGCCGAAAGTCCTCACCTACCGCAGAAAAATTGACGCATAGTGGATGAATTAGGGTTTATGAGGTATCGATTTTGAAAATGGAGCAGAAAACAATGGCGGATTTGGGGGAAATTTTTGAAAAGGGAAGAAAGAAATTAAGGCAAAAGGTCGAAATGATAATATTCAGAGAATCCAATTGACATATGAATTGCCGAAGTAATTAGTCCAATTAGGGAGTACTTAAAATAACCTTTTAAATAAGTTAGGTTTAATTAAATCAATTTTCAAAACCATATTAATTATTTTGCCGTATCCGCTTGGGTTTCTTCGACAATTCATTTTTAATCATTCCATTCGAAATATATTTTACCCGCTCCGTCTCATATATTTTGGGTCTGTTACCGTAGAAAGAGAATTTAGGTAAAATATAATTAGTAGATAATTAAAAATATATTAGTAAAAATAATTATTATTTAGTAAAAATAATTATAAATTAAAATTAAAATAAGATAAATAATTTAATTAAAATTAAAAAAATTATAAAATTTAAAACTTAAAATATGATTAAAATGGATAATCATATTTCAAAAAAAAAAAAAAATTACTTGAGACAGATGAAAATAAAAGATAGGAAAATATTTTCTAATATAGAAATATATTGCAGAATAATACTCCCTTCCTCAAATTGCCCGACCCGACCCGACCCGACCCGATAGTATTTTTCGGACCGTAGTTAAGTGTGGCAATTGAATCCATAACATAATACCGATAAGATAACAACTAAATGACTTAAGATTATACTTTCATTTTTCATATAAATTTATTTTTTAATATATTTATAAAAATAACTTTTTAAAATTATAATTTAATGTAAAAACCGTGTCAGGCGACAGCCCAATACTAGTACAGGATCAGTCACGGTCCGAAATTTTTATTTTTCTAGACTAAACACGATTTTTTTGTGTCAAATTCGGATTAAATTTTCAAAACGTATTTATTTTTGTCAGCTCTAATAATATGTAATGGGGTCCATAATAAAAAGGAAAATTGAGATTTTATATCGAACAAAATATATACTTATCAAGTGCGCGTGTTTGTGGATTTAATTTTAGGTTTGGATTTCTTAATAATAAAATTTGTATTTGAATAATTAGTTTATATAATATTTTGAATATAAAAATATATTTTTAAATATAATATAAAAAATAGTTATTTAATTTGATATTTAAAAAAAGAAGAAGCTAAACTAATTAATAAAACTCGATAGAAAAATTCATAAAAAAACACAATCATTTTTTATTTTAGTTTTGAGAAGTCAATAATATATAACTTTTTAACTCAAAATTGATTGTACAATAAAAAGTTCTGAAACCTCCTTAAATTAAAAAAATACTGTTATAAACTCTTTAAATTCTTAAATATAGATAGTTTTCAAAACTAATTTTAGGTTTAGATGTTGCAAATTTTTCTTTAATTGAAGACATTTACTTAAAAAACATAAAAACATGTCATGAAAGGAAGGTAAACAAAATAAAATAATTTTACTATTATACTCTCGTATTCCCTCCGTTCCAACTCAATAGATCTTTTTTACTATTTTCGTTCGTCTCATTTCAAAATATTTATTTTCTATTTTAGTAAAAATAATTATACATCAATATCAAAATACCTTTAACTTTTACCTGAACTTTAAACATACCAGTACACATACAGTTATTTCTGAATTTACTATAAAATCCCAAAGAACCCATTTGGAGCGGACTAACTAATAAAATACTGTTATTTTTTAATTTACTATAAAATCCGAAAGGGCTCATTTGAACCAGAACGGAAGGAGTATTATATAAATAAAATAAAATAATATATAAATAATATATAAAAAATTATGTTATGTTAGAATTATTATCTTTTTTTAGAAGGGATAAATTATATTTTCTATGTTCCGTAGCTATGTATTCATTTACGTTTTGGATGTTGAATTTTAAATATTAGTATTATATTTATAAGTAGTACAAATTAAGAGAAAAAAAGAAAAATATTTTTATTAGTGTTTAAAAGCAAATGTAATAACATTATGTATAAAATATTTTAAAAATATAAGGGTGCTTTTAAAATTAAGTATAATGATATAAAAGACACATGAATATGTTGTTAAGGGACGAAATAAATATATTATTTTAAATATTTTTATTTGTTGTATTTTTTGTAATATTTATACAAAAAAAAAAATTGCCGCTAAAAAATTGTTGGGTGAATAATATCACTGTATTTCAAGTAATTTTTGATCAATTTATAGTACTCTCCATGTCTCACATAAAGTAGATTAATAAATAATACTTCATCTGTCCCAGAAGAGATATCTTGTTGGAGTTTGGTATGAGAATGAAAGAATAATAATATTTAATTGAAAGTGAGTATAAAGTATAATATAAAAGACTAAAATATCCTTAATTTTTGAAAGATTTTAAAAAGTATGTTAGAGTAATAATTATGGATAGTTTGGAAAAATACGAATAATTTTGTTATAAAGTGATGATCACAGTTAATAAATAAAAAAACAAGACAATTGTTTTAGAACAGACGATAATGAAAAAACAAGACAACTTTTTTGGAACGGTAGAGTATTATTTTATTGGTTGATGAAAATATGTAAAATGATTTTGATATTTTCGTCCTTGCAAGTATAAAGGAAAAAAAATTGTAAGAGTCAGAGGTATTTTAGTATTTCTATATTGATTATTTTTACTATAATAAAATTTTGATACTTTTGAATATGACAGATAAAAATATTAAAAATAATACACTGGGTTAAAACAGAAAGAATATTTTGTTAATTTTATAGAATGTTGAAAAAATTTATAATAAATCTATATATGTTGGAGTATTTATTTTTTATGTTGTATTATTTTTTAGGGGTATTTGGATTTAAATCTCTCCAAGCACATAAACATTCAAGTTCAGTTCCTTTTAATTTTTCCAAAACACTGCACTCTCTACTTCTTATTTTAATTTACACTTCACTCCATAATATCTGTTTTACCCTTGAAATATGATAGCATGCGTTTTATGTTTATATCATATGCGATATTTGATTGATTTTGATTGGATTCTACCTAATTTCTGTGCATATTGTTTATTTTCGACATGTAGGAAAAAAAAAAGACAAATTTGGTGAATTTGAAAAAAAAAAAAAAAAGAAGCATTGGACAATCAAGTTAGTCATGACCTTGACTAACTATACTCTTCTGACATGAGAATTTAATTAAAGGCCCAAAAGCCCAGCTATAAAATAATTAGGGCCAAAATTAAATAAAATGAGAGGAGTCACACGTTGAAAAGGAGAGAATGGCCAGAGTAAATACGCACAAGAGCAAGAGACTGACAGAATCATAGATTGCGCAGGAACATATCGACAGAGAAGATTTCTTTCCACTATGACTTTATCTTTCTCTATTGTTCTTTGTTATTTGATTATGGAGTAAATATTTTTCTGGTTTGAGAGATGATAATGGTTTGGTTCTTATGTTTTGGAAATTCTTGACTTTCTTCATAAAAGTTCTTTTTAATTATCAATATTTTGTCTAATTCTGAAAATAACGTTTGTGATTGTTAGATTGATTGGATATTTTGGTACTGATAATATAAAGTCAATTCAGGTAGAATATCCGTAATTGTATTCACACTTGATTACGTGACAACCAGGTTGAATAGTCCATTCCCGGGAGTTAGATAATGAAATCTAACTGCTCCTATTAGGTAGTAATTGTTTTGAATTGAATTTTTCTAGATTATAATGCGATTAGACAATATTTCCTATGAGCGTACCTAGGTTTATTAGCTTAATTAGGGGTAGTTAACGACCGTACCTTAATTACCTACACGGTAAAGAAAAATTGGTTGTCAGAGCTTGTTGATAACTATAACCAATTTAAGATACTTTAATAAGAACTAACTTTTTGAATCAATGACAAAACAGAATTGCCATAATTGCATATCCCTTGAACCAGACATCCCCTTAATAGCCAGTTCTCACTTAATTTAGTTGCTTTGTTATTTTATCTTCATTAGATAATACAAGAAAATCCTCATATTATTTACTGCATTAGAATATGAAAGAGTGAATCACACAATCCCTGTGGAGACGATCCATTCCCCTGTATTACATTAAATTATGATAACGGAATATGTAAAATATTTGATTGACCGCGCGACAAGTAAAAATCACCATATAATGTAATGAACATTGTATGTACTTCTGTTTATTTTATATGAACTACTTCACAATTATCTCGTAGAAATGTTGCAAGTGCAATGAAGTTAAAATTGATATGTGTTAGGGGAGTTGGGATAATATGAATCCCTTGATTTTAATTGACAAGGTTTTGAATCCAATAAACAAACATCAGGTAATTAAAGCGAGCATCAAGATATTGGAAGGAAGTTCTCAAAAGATTCAAAAAGTTGTTGTTGATACTGTTAAGAATAATTTGATAATTTTGTGAACGGAGTACAAGGGAAAGGTTGAAACTTCATCTGCGGGGGGTATAATATGTAGATAAAGTGCAGTAGTGAAGATGGTTTTTCAGCGGTGTGGTGGCTTTTGTAATGAATTATTTGAATGTATAAATGCACAAAATGAATAAGATCATCTTAAAAAGATATCTAATGAAGTTGACAAATATTTGGCGGATGATATTGAGAAACGATCTAATTCATGTTTCAATATATTTTAGTGATGGAAGGAAAGTGAAACTAAGCATCCTATTCTTTCAACTATTGCTAAGTATATTTTTACAATTCCAAGTTCAACGATGGCTAATGTGTCTCCTTTTCATTTGGGAAAACGAGTTATGAATCTTTTAAGAAGTAATTTAAAAGCTAAAATGGTAGAAACATTAGTGTGGACTAATGATTGGTTGAAAACCAATGAGATGAATTTCTATAATGTTCCAACCGATGATGATCTAGAATTTTACAAAGAAATTGAAGAAATCGAAATAAGTAAGAGATTTAATTTATAATATTATATTTAAGTAATTTTTATTTAAAATTATTTATGTTTGTACAATATATTAATAAAATTTTATGTATCTTTTATAGGTATAAAAAATATTCGAAATCATTCTCTAACTTCGATTCCGGCTAAAGAATCTTTCTAATAAACTTGTAAGTTTTGTAGTTTTTATTTATTAAGTCTATTAAAATATTTTAATATTTTGTAATAAAAAATTCTATGTATTGTTGTTAGATGTTGGCAATGACTATGATAACAAAGTTAAAGTATTTAAATGTTTTTTTTTTTCAAAATAAATGATTATGTTATTTGCAAAATAAGATATTTTAATTTATTCCACTATTATATAAAATTTGATTGAATTTATTATATTCAATTTATTTTAAATTCTTTTGTCTATCATTTTAAATTAATTCAATATAACAGATTTAACATATTTAACATTTAATGATAAGGTATTGGAGTTAGTGTTTTCAAATTTTGAATTGGATGATCGAGTTATATTTTTAATTTGATTTCTTTTTTCTTGGAGTTTATGGAGAATTTTGAGAAGTGAATATGGTCAAATACTTGAATTTTGTGGAGATTTTTTTTTTTTTAAAGATATTTGATTATAGTAAATTTTATATGGATTGGCTGACTGGGATTGATCTGTGATGTTTGAAATGGGATTGTAGATTGTTTTCTAAATGACCAATCAGATTGTGTCAACGGATTTTTATTTTTTTAATTATTTGATTGTATTAATTAATTATATTTTAAAATTCTTATGTATTTCTAACAAAAAAAAAATACGGTATATCATATCGAACCATCTCTTATTTGGCTTCAAAATTAATATAATATATTTGCTCTAAGTCTTCCTTTTTATATTATCTAGTCAAACACAAATTAAAGCAAAGGCTACTTGATCAAGTTGACAATACCAAAGTGAACTACTTAAAACATATTGACAATGTAAACAAAGGTGGTAATTCAATTCTACCCAATAATTGACCCACCATTTCCATTGAAATCGATTTCCACAAAACAAAAGGTGGACAAAACATATTTGTTTGTTTTTTTATTTCAAACAAAATATATCACTACTCCATCTTCATAATTTCAGCAAAAAAAAAAAAAAAAAACAATTAAAAAAAAATTTATAAAACATAATATGTGCAATATCATTTAAATTAAATTCAAATAAAAAAATCTAAATTTATATTAAAACCAACCATCCAACCAACCAACCTATTTCACAACATTTCAACGACTCTAATTATTGCATAGTTCCTCAACCGCCAAATATAGCCATTTAAATTAAATGAATTTTAAAATATAATATCATATTAATTGATTATTAACATAAAATATAAATATTTTAAAAAATGGAAGTAAAAGAAATTTTGATAGATTCTAAGTACTTTCTAATAGTTATTTATAAGAAATGTAGTGTCTTTATTTAGTAAAATTGTTTAAAAAATATTTTTTTTATATAAAATATAAAAAATTATGTAAATAATATAAAATAACAAATGTATTTAATATATTAATTTTTTTTTTTTAAAAAAAAAACCAAACTTTACTTGCACTATAAATTTTTTCATTTGACACTATTTAATTTTTTAAAAACCAAACACATCAAATACTCCCTCTAGTACCGTTTATGTCTATACAAAAACAATAGCCTTATTTACATAGGACCATCTCCAACCCTCTCCACTCTATTTTTTCAGTTCATCTCCAATCCTCCACTCCATTTTTTCAGTTCAGTTGCTACAGTCAAAATGTAATTGATCTACAATAATTTTACTCCAATTCCCTGTATATTCCTCTTTTATATTATTTTATATAACTTTTCATATTTATAAATTAATCCCAACTTTAATTTATTTTTACATTAGATCCATACACATATAATTTATAATTATTTAAAAATTACATATATAAAAATTAACATTTAAAAAATAAAATTATATATTACTTTCCAAAAACTAAAATTATCTCACTTTTAAAAAATAAAATTATACATTATTTTTCAAAAAAAAATAAAATTACATACAACTTTTTAAAATATAAAATTATATATCTACTAAAAAATTAAAATTACATAATACACCAAAAAAATACCAAAAATATAAAAAATACCACAAAAACTCCACTCCATTTTGTAAGTGTAACTCCATTTTTTTTCATTTTTATTACACAATTGCCGCTACTTTTTACACTAATACAAAACAAAGAAATCTTTTATACATAATTTTTACCGACTACTAATATAATATCAATATTCTTTAAATACCTTGCACAACCCAATTAATAAGACAGAAGAAGTATATTTTTTCTCTTTAAAAAACATATAATCAAATACACTAGTTACTTCTTCCAAAACTCCAAAAACCCTTTCTAAAAGTGACAACAAGTAAATACCACATATTTTTCAATAAATAAATAAAAAGCCAGCTCTGGTCACATATTTTCACTATCATGTTAATACTCATTTTTCTATTGTTTATTTCTCCTACAAATCTCACCAAACTCCTCAAAACAACAAAAACAATTTCAAGACATTACCAAAAGACAGCCAAGATTTTCCAGTCATGATCATTCAAATATTGAACAAGATATCTTATCCAAAACAAGAACTGAGGTAGAATTACCTGTCCATTGGTAGACAACAAGTGACCATCACAACTGTCCCCATCAAATAAGAGAGCCATAGCCACACCACGAGATTACCTTTCAAAAGTCGCCGGGGGGCGAACTGACCAACCGCCCAACCATTCTGCCATAGCCACAGAAAGTGATTAAAAAGAAGTTCAAACATGGAGAGCCTCTGCCTCTGCCTCTTCACACCTAAAAAGGGCCAAGAATCGAACCGGGACACAATAACAATTATTTCAAGCAGGCAAAAGGAAAGGGGTTCGAAAATATCATAGATTCGACAAAACAGCATCCACAAAATTCTTCAAAAACTAGAGAGAGCATCAGTCGTCTCATAAGATTATAAATGAAGCAGCAAATTTGACTTAAAAAACAAGCCACACACTGTAGTTGATTGTCGCTAAACAGAGAGAGCGCTCTTTATTCTAACAAAGACTCATCCGAGATTAGCAATGCCGTAGCCGCGCAGACAAATTTACTTCTGAACGGAGGCCATGTGCTTGATCAGATCAACCACGCGAGTGCTGCAAAGAAATTTAGTATTATAGAATCAGCAAAAGCGAACTGTAGTGTCGACGACGTATGGAATTAGATTCAAAGGATGCACTCGAATTACCTGTAACCCCATTCGTTGTCGTACCATGCGACAAGCTTGGCGAAGTTATCATTCAAAGCAATTCCAGCCTTGGCATCGAATATGCTTGACCTAAAGTTCCAAGAATCACCAAAAAAGTGAGGCCGATTGGCAATGATATCATGTCTTTGGAGTAAAGAGAAGCCGAAAGTTTACCTGTTATCACCCAAGAAGTCTGTGGATACAAGATCCTCGTCAACATAGCCCAAGATTCCCTTCAAACTTCCTTCCGATTCCTCCCTACAGAAAAATATATCACACGTAATTACAATGGTAGGGATTTAAAAGTTAATCCACGAGAAAGAAAATAGGTATTTGTAACACTGAATAGAATCGGCATGCTTACTTGATAGCGGCTTTAATTTGTTCATAAGTAGCTGGCTTTTCAAGTCTCACGGTGAGATCGACCACGGAAACATCAACAGTAGGGACACGGAATGCCATGCCGGTCAATTTTCCATTAAGGGCAGGAAGAACTTTGCCAACAGCCTAGAATGTAAACAATAAAAACATCAAAATTTGCAATAAGAGATAATTAGAAATTCAAGGAGGCTCACAAGTAGATTGAGAATCTTGAAATCATCAACAAAAATCACCAGAACAATCTTCAGATTTAAATACCTTGGCTGCACCAGTGCTGCTAGGAATGATGTTGAATGAAGCAGCTCTGCCGCCTCTCCAGTCCTTCGCTGATGGTCCATCAACAGTCTTCTGAGTGGCTGAAGAGAACAAGAGATAGAAAATCAGTATCTTCCATGGAAATTAAAAATAATAATGAGACATGAAACTACACATACCTGTTATGGCGTGGACGGTGGTCATAAGACCTTCAACAATACCGAACCTATCATTAATGACCTGAAATTTGGGGAAATCAACTAGTTAGAGATGGATCAAAATGCTAAACATCAAACAAGATAATGAAAAACTGTTGGCATGCCTTGGCCAGAGGTGCAAGGCAATTTGTGGTGCAGCTAGCATTAGAAACAACGTCGAGGTCAGGTGTGTATGACTTCTCATTGACTCCAACCACAAACATGGGAGCATCCTTGCTGGGTGCAGAAATCACAACCTTCTTGGCACCACCCTGGTGATCAAACAAAAGAAAGATGTTCAATAAATCAATGAATAACTATGATCGATCACTCCAGCACATGTTCATTTTCACCCATAAAATTGTTAAGAATAAAGAAGTTGCAAATTTGGAATATCAGAATTAACACAAATCATACCTTCAGATGGGCTGCAGCTTTGTCCTTGTCGGTGAACACTCCAGTCGATTCCACAATGTATTCCGCACCAGTCTCACCCCACGGAATCTCATCAGGATTTCTATTAGAGTTTCACAAGTCAACAATCAGTCACAAAACCAAGCAATCCACAACATGTTTCAACCGAATGTTTTACGACAGAGTACAGACCTGATGCCGAAAACAGTCACAGGCTTCTCACCGAAGAGAAGGGTTTTTCCATCCTTACCCGCCTTCAATTCATGGTGCTTCCACTGGCCATGGACAGTGTCGTACTTGAACATATAGGTCTGCAAATACAGGTTAAACAAAGATAAATCGAAAGAAAAGCCCCATACAAATCATAAGAAATACTTCAATAGACTATATGAAGTTAAGAGACTTGTCAGATCCATTAATCTAAATCAGAGTAATACTACACAACAGATCTAACCAGCAAGCAGAAACTTCAAAAAATTAAAAAATGTAAGAGAATCCAACTAAGGGTTGAAAAGGCAAGAGAGATCGAAATACCATGTAGTCAACATTGATGAACGGATCGTTGATAGCAACAACCTCAACATCGTCTCTTTGAAAAGCAACCCTAGCCACCAAACGGCCGATCCTTCCAAATCCTTCACAAATCAAGCAAGCAAGCAAACAATAAACAAATATTCAAATCACGATCCAAACATATTATAAAAATAAAAGCATCAAACAAAAAAAAAACAAAAATAAATCACATCCATAACCGTAAGGTTCAGATCTATACCGTTGATTCCGATCTTGATTGCTGCATCAGAAACAAACCAAAAACACAAATCAGACGCCAGTAACTCAAAAACCAAAGCAGATCAACTACAGCAAACTCATCCAAAAAATGGAAAACACCAAAAACAGAAAATTACTCATTTCCGCTGTAGGAGAGAGCTTTCGAGAGACTGCTGAGCTGCGACGGACCGATCGAAGTAGTGAACTGTGTCTAAGGGTTTTAGATATTTATGTAAGAGGAAAGCTTCGTGGTTTTTCTACAGAGCATTTTGGTGCAGTGGACCGAGATGATCGGTGTGAGGCTGTAGAATGATCTGGACCGTTGATTTGGATGACTGACTTTCGTTGACCACCCCTTGTTTCGCGTGATAAAGTTGGAATTATCGCGAGTGTGTTTTTCAGGTTCTGGAACCATCTATTAGATCGTGCGGCTGAAATTGAATCTTGCGTAGTGGCGGGCCCCGTATAGCCCGCCACTTGTCTCGCCTTTGTCCTGGACCCGTGAGTCAAGGCGGGTTTTTTTTTTTATATAAATAATTTTAGTTTTAATATGCGAATATTCCTCTAAATTTCAAAGTTAGATCGGATCTTGCATAGAGTTATAATAAATACTTTTAGGGTGTGTTTGTTTGGGGTTTGAATTTTGATTTGAGATTTGAATAGTTGTATGATGTAATATAAATAAGTGTTATGCTGTTTTGAATATAAAATTGATTTTTAGTATAATATAAAAAATAAAAAATGGATTTTGATTTGATATTTTTGGAAAAAAAAAAATTGGGATGAACAGTGTATTTAAAATTCAATCTTCCAAACAAACATACCCGTTTGAAATAGTTGGAAAATAAATGGTATGCACGACAATTATCATAATAGATCGATTAATTCAGAATAAATTAGGGTTTTGTTTACCCAACACACTTTCACCCATTTAATATTACTTATTTTTCAAAAAACATACTAAGTTTTTTACTTTTTTTTGTTCTTTTTTTTCCAAACTTCCAAATTTAAAAAAACCTCCCAAAAAATTATTTATCTAATGTTTGGTTTTTAATTAGATTTGAGAACTCCTTAGCCCTATTTTACAGTTGTTATCTTTATTACTATTACCTTTTGTATTTTTACCATGAGACTTGTTATCTCTATTAATAATTACAATTTAGAGGTCGATATTATCTTTTTTTTAAAAAAGATTATTGGGTGTGTTTACTTGTAAAATTATGGTTTTTGGTTTTGATTTTGAATAATAAAATTTTGTTTTGGAATAATTGTTTTATTTAATATAAATATGTATTTTAAATGTAAAATTAGATTTTAATATAATAAAATAATTAAAAAAATGAGTAACCACGCCCATTACTTTTTATAAAAATAAATAAATAATTAATTATTATCCAAAATTTAGAATTTTAAATTTTTATTAATAATTTATCTACAGAAATATAACTTAAGAGTTGTGCTCGACAATTAGTTGTTAGTTGATCCGATTAGTTTGTTTGACTAGCTGATTTGATTAATTGTTTGTATTAAAGTGTTATATTTACTTGAATTTTTTTGTGGGCAAACTTTTTTAGAATTTTATTATTAATTTTAAAAATTAGAAAAATTTTATTAAGATATTTTTTTTATTATTTTAAAAATATTTTGTAAAAAATTAATGCAAGTTTATTGAAAAATATTTTTTTTTTTTCACTAGAAATAGTATAAATATAAAAGAATAAAAATTATTAATATATATATTTTTATTATATTAGTTTTTAATTAATATATATTTATATTAAATTTATAATTTTAAATAAATATATTATTTTTAATAAAAATATTATGTGATAAAAAGTACTATATAATTGACTCAATAATATTAATATTTTTATATTATTTTTATTCTAAAAAATAAAAAATTATATTATAAATACGAGTTTGTACGGATCTGCCACTTGAAAAGTCTATCTTACCCCTCATTTCAAAAATGACAATTTAGCCCTTAACCTACCTTTGTACTGGCTTGAAAAGACGTTTTGGAACCGTCGTCAACCGCCCAAGACGAAACGTTTTGGAACGTCGTCAGGTCAGTTACATCAACCGCCTCGCCAAACGCCTCCACCAGTTCCAGAACTCAAATAGCCCACCCAACCAATCCAGAGACCAATCGGTAGACCAAAAGACTCCTTGGCCGCACCCACCAAGCGACCTGTCTATCCGACTGCGGACCAGCTGACTTGCCTTTGCGACCGCAGACCAGCCGACCTACTTTATCCGACCGCAGACCATCAGAAATGTCTGTCCGACCTTCTGACCATCAGACCTGTCTGTCCGAACGCTAACCATCCGACCAAGGACCAACCGACCAGATCAACCGACCGAGGACCTTCCGACTTGCCTATCCGACCGCTAACCAACCGACCTGATCATCCGACCGAGGACCAACTGACCAGAACAACCGACCGAGGACCTTCCAACCTGCCTATCCGACCGCTAACCAACCTACCTGACCATCCGACCAACCGACCTGACCAACCGACCTGAGCGCAAATTTTTCTCATTTTCCACCCGACTTCGTGTCTAACTTCCTTTCAGATCCTGCTATCCTTATTATTATTATTATTATTATTATTATTATTATTATTTGTGCGTAACAATTATCAAAGTTGAAATATCATTGCTATTTTTGACATTTCAAAACTCATAAAGAGATGCAGGTCACCCTTCTTATCTCAGTCTACCCGCCTGCGGACCAGCTGACTTGCCTATCCGACTGCAGACCACCATCAGACCTGTCTGTCCGACCGCTAACCATCCTACCGAGGACCAGCCGACCATACCAACCGACCGAGGACCTTCTGACCTGCCTATCCGACCGCTAACCAACCGACCTGATCATCCGACCGAGGACCAACCGACCGAGGACCTTCCGACCTGAGCGCAAATTTTTCTCCTTTTCCACCCGACTTCGTGTCTAACTTCTTTTAAGATCCTGCTATCCTTATTTTTATTTTTATTATTATTATTTTTTGTGCGTAACAATTATCAAAGTTGAAATATCCTTGCTATTTTTGACATTTCAAAACTCATAAAGAGATGCATGGTCACCTTCTTATCTCAGTCTATCCGTCTGCGGACCAGCTGACTTGCCTATCCGATCGTAGACCAGCCGACCTACTTTATCCGACCGCAGACCATGAGACATGTCTGTCCGACCGCTAACCATCCGACCGAGGACCAACCGACCAAGGACCTTCCGACCTACCTATCCCACCGCTAACCAACCGACCTGATCATCCGACCAAGGACCTTCCGACCTGCCTATCCGACCGCTAACCAACCCACCTGACCATCCGACCAACCCACCTGACCAACCGACTTAAGCACAAATTTTTCTCCTTTTTCACCCGACTTCATGTCTAACTTCCTTTAAGATCCTGCTATCCTTATTTTTATTATTATTATTATTTTTTGTGCGTAACAATTATCAGAGTTAAAATATCCTTGCTATTTTTGACATTTCAAAACTCATAAAGAGATGTAGGGTCACTCTTCTTATCTCAGTCTATCCGTCTGCGGACCAGCTGACTTGCCTATCCGATCGTAGACCAGCCGACCTACTTTATCCGACCGCAGACCATGAGACATGTCTGTCCGACCGCTAACCATCCGACCGAGGACCAACCGACCAAGGACCTTCCGACCTACCTATCCCACCGCTAACCAACCGACCTGATCATCCGACCGAGGACCTTCCGACCTGCCTATCCGACCGCTAACCAACCCACCTGACCATCCGACCAACCCACCTGACCAACCGACTTAAGCACAAATTTTTCTCCTTTTTCACCCGACTTCATGTCTAACTTCCTTTAAGATCCTGCTATCCTTATTTTTATTATTATTATTATTTTTTGTGCGTAACAATTATCAGAGTTAAAATATCCTTGCTATTTTTGACATTTCAAAACTCATAAAGAGATGTAGGGTCACTCTTCTTATCTCAATCTATCCGTCTGCGGACCAGCTGACTTGCCTATCCGACCGCAGACTAGCCGACCTACTTTATCCGACCGCAGACCAGCCGACCTACTTTATCCGACCGCAGACCAGCCGACCTACTTTATCCGACCGCAGATCATCGACCTGTCTGTCCGACCGCTAACAATCCGACCGAGGACCTTTCGACCTGCCTATCCCACCGCTAACCGACCGACCCTAAACCCTAAACCCTAACCATCCTACCGAGGACCAGCCGACCATACCAACCGACCGAGGACCTTCTGACCTGCCTATCCGACCGCTAACCAACCGACCTGATCATCCGACCGAGGACCTTCCGACCTGAGCGCAAATTTTTCTCCTTTTCCACCCGACTTCGTGTCTAACTTCCTTTAAGATCCTGCTATCCTTATTTTTATTTTTATTATTATTATTTTTTGTGCGTAACAATTATCAAAGTTGAAATATCCTTACTATTTTTGACATTTCAAAACTCATAAAGAGATGCAGGGTCACCTTCTTATCTCAGTCTATCCGTCTGCGGACCAGCTGACTTGCCTATCCGATCGTAGACCAGCCGACCTACTTTATCCGACCGCAGACCATGAGACATGTCTGTCCGACCGCTAACCATCCGACCGAGGACCAACCGACCAAGGACCTTCCGACCTACCTATCCCACCGCTAACCAACCCACCTGATCATCCGACCGAGGACCTTCCGACCTGCCTATCCGACCGCTAACCAACCCACCTGACCATCCGACCAACCCACCTGACCAACCGACTTAAGCACAAATTTTTCTCCTTTTTCACCCGACTTCATGTCTAACTTCCTTTAAGATCCTGCTATCCTTATTTTTATTATTATTATTATTTTTTGTGCGTAACAATTATCAGAGTTAAAATATCCTTGCTATTTTTGACATTTCAAAACTCATAAAGAGATGCAGGGTCACTCTTCTTATCTCAATCTATCCGTCTGCGGACCAGCTGACTTGCCTATCCGACCGCAGACTAGCCGACCTACTTTATCCGACCGCAGACCAGCCGACCTACTTTATCCGACCGCAGACCAGCCGACCTACTTTATCCGACCGCAGATCATCGACCTGTCTGTCCGACCGCTAACAATCCGACCGAGGACCTTCCGACCTGCCTATCCCACCGCTAACCGACCGACCCTAAACCCTAAACCCTAAACCCTAAACCCTAACCATCCTACCGAGGACCAGCCGACCATACCAACCGACCGAAGACCTTCCGACCTGCCTATCCGACCGCTAACCAACCCATCTGA